GAAAGGTTCACGTTCCCAAGGATAAAGGCAGTGGGGTAGGGGGGAATGTGAGGCAGGCGCCCTATTGCTTACACTCAGGCCAGGACAAAGCCACGTTAGAGACGGCCACGAAAACATCCTGGGGGAAAAAGAATACTGCTCTGAAATTACACTAGACTCTCCCTCTTCTAAGTTGGGTGGCCTTTGACAAGTTATGCAATATTGAGTTGAGAAGAGTTAGGTGAGTTACTACTTTGCACCCATAGAATAATCCTATAATAATCAATCATAGCTGGCATCTGAGTACTTGCTATTTGTCTCATCTAGGACTGTGCTTCTGGACCACCAGCCCAGGAGCAGTGAGGCAGAGATTTAGTCCCTGGCATGTACTTTTTGCCTAGTACCTTTGTTTTCATCTCTCTTTTCTTTCACTCCTAGAATAGTATAGTTTAGTTTCCACATCTGATCATTAAATCTGATTTCAAGAAATAAGAAATACGTTGACATTTTACACAGTGATCTAGTAAACACGTAGCTATATGTAAATAGTTTCGTAAAGCAAACAAATTTCCTGGATGTAAGACGATACTTTCATGGATCATTTCTATAGTTTGTTAAATTTCCTGGATGTGGTACACTATTTATCTCTTCTTCTGTGCTTCATTTTTCAAAAAGCAGCTCATGACCTTATAAACTGATGTCTCAACGCTTCTAGTAGACTACTATTCATAGTTTGGTAGTTTGAAAAACACTATTAGAGAGGGAAAAGGTGACTCATAAACTGATTATAATCTGAAGAAACACACCCTGAGGTCAACACTTCCTTTTGGCTGATTGTTTTGTTTTGTTTTTGAGGTATAATTGACACATAACATTATTAGTTTTAGGTGTACAACAGAGTGACTTAATATTTGTATATATTCAAAATGATCACCACAATAATAAATGTTCTAGTTAACATCTGTCACCATACACAGCTACAACATTTTTTTCTTGTGATGAGAATTTTTAGGATCGACTCCTTTGGCAACTCTCAAATATGAAATATAGCACATTAACTATAGTTGTCATGCTGTAGATTACACCCCCAGGATCTATTTATTTTATAACTTAAAGTTTGTATCTCTGACCCCCTTAACCCATTTTGCCCACCCCCAATCCCTGGCAACCACCAATCTATTTTCTCTGAGTTCATTTGTTTTTTTTTTTTTTTTTCCAGATTCCACACATACATAAAATCTACAGTATTTGTCTTTAACTTATTTCACTTAGCATAATGACCTCAAAGTCCACCCAGAATGTCACAAATGGCAAGATTTCATTCTTTTTTATGACTGAATAACTATATATATATATATCACAAGTTTTTTATCCATCTATGAAGGAACACCTAGGTTGCTTCCATATTTTGGCTATTGTAAATAATGCTGCAATGAACACAGGGGTGCAGATATCTTTTTGAATAAGTGTTTTCATTTTCTTCAAATAAATATGCAGAAGTGGAATTGCTGGATCATATAGTAATTCTATTTTTAATATTTTGAGGACCCTCAATACTGTTTTCCATAGTGACTGCAACAATTTCCACTCTCACCAACGGCTTCTCCGCATCCTCACCAATGTTTGTTACTGTGATTCTAACAGGTGTTAGGTAATATCTCATTGTGATTTTGATTTGCATTTCCCTGATGATTAGCCCATTGAGCACCTTTTCATGTACCTGTTGGAGTTTACTAGTTATCTTCTTTTCCAAACCCTGGATAGAAAGTGTGCTACACAAGAACCTCAGTGCCAAGATCCGAACATTCTTGTTAATCTCACTCTTTCTGGAGTCATACTTCTCCTTACAAGTCAATAATTCCATATTTTGATACACATCAATGTCATGCAAATTAAAACTGAACAGTATCTTCACTGGTCCAAGAGCTCCCAGCGCTAACAAACTCCATTTGACTAAACTTTGCAACACCAGACTTTTCAGTCAAGGCAAGCCTTCTTGTTCCAGAAAACTTTAATCTCTCGCATTAGTGTAAAACAACACGGCGATTTGCAATACTCAACTAAATGTGATGACTCAGCATGGAAGTTTAGTTCAATATTTTATTTAAAAATATGCAAAGCTGAGGGAGGAATCTGATCTTTTGATAAAAGAAAGTAATTTTCACAGCATGTATCTTAGCCATTTTAGCTTTGTGTTGAATAATAACAGAAAAGGGAAGTTTCTGTTCTAGATCCTCACTCCAGCATTCAGCCAGGTGCTTGGGATCTCGAAGCAAGATAATACATGCCCTGGTCTGAACTCATAGTAAATCCTTTCACCTAGGTGGAACACCAGCTATTCCCCAGGAGCACATCAGGTCTTATTTTCACTGTTTTATACAGGGCCTGAGAATCCTTCATTTTAAAGCTGAGAAAAATGTGAAAGGATTTCTTAACTCATTGCCTGCATCAAACCTAACTATTTGTTCATTCTTGACAATTACAAGTATAAGATACTTGAAATTTTTAAGATGTTCCACATTTAATAGAACAACTCAAATGTAAAAAATTAAGTCAAGTAACATGCTTTTACGTATTAAAATGTTACTTAACAAAACTTACAGAGACAAGATATGCAGCACTTTCTTGCACTTGGTATTATAAACTCCAACTGACGATGGCTACTTGATGGTCAAAAAATTAGAAAAGAGAAGGAACCAAAAATACTAGTATATAACGATGCCTGCAGGGAATGTCATGTTTTAAATTTTGTTGCTAAAATTAAACTTGAAAAAAAAGGTCTAGAAAAGCAACACACCCAGTTATTTTAAATGATGAGGTAGATTTTTTTCCTATGCAGTAAAGTGAAGATAACAACAACAACAAAAAAAAATGGATACAACTTTCAAATCTTTTTTTTAAAATTCAATTATAGTCACTTTCACAAAAAGACATTTATAAACTATGAGGTGGAGAGGTCATACTCAGGCAACCTCTGAATTTGATGTGTTACTTGGAGATTCAACGATCAGTCTTGGATCAATCAACTCTCTCCAAAAAACAGTGATCTGAGGAAAAATATAAAATATTCAGTTTAGACACTTCATTTTGACATCATATAGGTTTTAGTCGGTTAAAAACTTCAGTCAAGTAAATTTCCATTTGTGCAGAATAGCTGAAGACCCGGAATAATTTGAGTTCCGATAAAGTGAGTTCGATTAGGATATAAAAACTTGTTTACCTAGAACACGGCTAAAATTTACATTAAGCATATTTCATCTTTCTCTCATTTAAAGCGGTGGTTGTGGGGGTGAGTGGGGTGCAGGGTAGCTGATTACAAAAGGAGGATTTGCCCAATAAGCCTCTGCGGACAGGCAGCCCACAGACCTCTTGGGAGGCAGATGTGGCCCAGAAGGGTTACCACTGGACTGCTGATGCCCTTTTGTGCAGCTCTGTAGTTCTTACCCTATGCTACCTAAAAATAGGAGGCATTTTACTAAGAGAAAGCAAACTACTAACACTTGGTCTTATGGATGACTGATGAGGGCCATCTAGTGTCAAAAAGGGTTATTACAGGCTCTGCTTTGGGCTTTAAAAAAAGAGGAAAGTCTCCAAAGTTTAATTTTCCAACATAGTTTCTAAGAATACATTTCAACAAAAAGTGGGGCTGAATGTATTGCAAGCAAAGAAGTACAGGAGACAAGACCAAATCTGATGATCCTACTACAGACCTTAAAAATGTGTTTTTGGAATAAATCCCTAAGAATATCTATCATCTGAGAGACAAAGCAAAACATACAGTCTGGTTAAGGTTTCTGCATTTCAGATAAAATGTGAATTTGTAATACTGAAACTTACAGAATAATATCCATAACATTTCAAATATGAGTGCCTCAACAGGAAGCATTTTCTTAAATATAAGTTTTATTTACTTTAACGCTAGCACAACCTAATGAGCCAGCCATTGCCAGAAACTATGGAAGTCTGGCTGTCTAAAAAACTCTAAACCATACACTTCAAAAACAGCAATTTAAGGGTTTACACAAACTCAAAAGATAGAATCATTTTATGTCCTTCTTCAAAACTATCTATGCTGTTTTAAGTCAGAATCGTGGTAACATTGGAGAGGTAGTAGTGACTGACCAATTTCCAGAGCGGGCTGTGAATGTGCTTGATCTGGGTGCTGGTTCCATGAGGACGTTCATTTGTGAACATTATTCAAGCTATACACTTATATGTACTTTTATGAATGTACACATCAATAAAAAGCATTTAAACTATGCTAGTCTTTTCTACAGAAACTTTTATGTAACTATGATTTTACGCAACTCTGTGGTCTTACATAAGAGTCTTATCTGCGCATGTTGTCATGTAGGCTCTTTGAGGTCCAAGACAGCGTCCTAACTTGGCATTCGGCACTGATACTGCCACCCTGTAGGTAGGACAGACAGCCCCAAGGCCCAGAGCCTTGATGATTTTAATACATGCAGTTCAGGAAGCTGCAATGTCACCTTCCAATCAAGAGAGTAAACAATCAAGAGAGAACAGATAACCAAGCAATTCCAAGAAGAGAAGCATGCTTACCTTTTTCTCCTGTGTTACAGCATATTCCACTACCTCGGTTCCATTTTCGTTGTGATACACCAAATCAAATTTCCCAGGTTCTTTCATAGCTGAAACCAGATGGTAGGGAGACAAGACAGTAAATCATTTCCCATGAGTGAAAACGGTCCTCTAGGGGGAATTTATATTAGAAAAACAACCACAAACAAATTGTCCATTGATGTGGAGACTGGGTACGCACACGAAAGTATAGAGTGCTCAGTGACAAGAGATCCTGAGGAAACCCTGCACCAGCAGATGAGAGCTTCTTGGCCATTTATCAGAGACAATCTTTCCTTCATCAAAAAGAAATGAGCTTGATACACTGTCACTAGTACTCCCAGAAAAGAAAATATATCCACAAGATAGTTCCAAAAGATAACTGATATGTTTCAACGAGAGGAGGTAATCTGAATTCTGCAAAATTCTTATATCGTGCTCTGTCCTCAGAAATTACACATGCCTACTACTTGGTAATACAACAGTCCTCACTTTACATGGTAGTGTGGGGCCATAAAAATGACCATGCAGACTGAAATCACACAAAACAATCTTAATAATCAATAGGAAAACTTATAATTGTTTCATGATCTTTAAAAAATTTTTTCAAAACATTAAAACTTTTCTAGGAAAATGGAAATGAAAAAAGGTAAAGTAGTTATGTAGCACACTGTAATTTAAAGTATTAGAAACACTGAGAATTAAAGTGTTCTATTTCTTTGTAAGAAACTTATCAAAGGTATTTTGAACAGTACTTGCCTTATCAGGCAACAATGATACAGAGTGAGAATCTTTTCTAAGCTTTGCAGAATTATCATACTCATTTCTAAGTTTCAATCAGCTTTCAGTATTTTATCCTTTGAGCTTTTAATGTCATGAAATAGCTCTGAGAGTTTCTGTTTCTTTTTCACAATTCTGGGAAACTTCTTGATGTCATCTTCATTTCTGGGACATCTTCATTTCTTTCGTCACAACTACTTTCCTCATTTATGTCAAGAAGTTCACATAAACCACAGTGTCAACATTCCCACAGTTGGCTATTTCTTCCATAATTTCACTTAAACTTGATTTGAATGTCACTTTTAGTTTCTTTGTTGTGCTTTCATCTTTGTTGGCCAAGTCCCTGTTTCAATTATCCATTTTTGTAAAATGTCACGTGGGTTTATCACTGAGCAACAAAGAGGAAGTACAACTAGACTTTGCTTTGTGCACAGGAACTGAGTAACAAGCAAAGTGGCTGATCACCAAGAGACTTCCAAAGAAGTGGCGTGACTGGTCACTGATCATGGTGAGCATCTATTATTATGTGGTGATTTGTGGACTAAAGAGCTGGCAGTACTTTATGCAAATCCAGTTAATATTTAACACACGTAATGTCATGTTATTTAACTAAACCATGGTAACTGAAGTTCATGTATATCAGAACCATGCAAAGCGAGGACTACTTGTATTTCTATTTGGAAACAGATAAAGCCATTTCTTGATACCCCAGTTCTAATTAGATGTCACCACTGTCAGTCATCTGACAAGCAGTGATCAGGCTATGTCCATGGAATATGACTATGGACAAACTTCTCTGTCCATACCGAAGAAGGGGGATGTCTTCAAATGAAACCTAATCAGAATAAAGCTGAAAAACCAGTGGAGGCTACATGTAATCACTTACTTAATATCATAAAGAGACTTTGTTGAAAAACCCTTTTGTCTAAATTCTGTGTACTGGAGTTTTGATTCTTTTACTCACTACCTTACTTAAACACAAACAGAAACAATTAATTGCCTTAGAACTGCTGAAGAAAGAGAGATCTCTCCTGCTCTCTGGCCAGGGACCTCTACAACACAACCCAAGTTAAGCCATATACAGTAAAAGCCCTCTCATTCCAGGATTTCAGAACCAATAACGAGTGGGGTGAATCAGAGACAAAGCAAAATAAGGTGTGAGAGTGTGTATACACAAATACTTTAGACATTTTATTTTGACTTAACACACAAAAATATGTTCATGTGTCAATCTTTTGAAATAGAGCTAATATGAGTCCACCAATTAGAGTCATCTTTTATAAATCATATCCTTAATGTATGTCTGCAATTTGCACAATCTCCAATTTTGAGGGTTTTTTAAAGTGATACAAAAATGCAAAAACTTGCAAGGCAACCTAAGTGCAAAATCTTCCCAGATGTTTACCAAATTCCTCCCAATCTCTTATAGCTGACCAACCCACACAAACTCAATAGCAAATTTTTTAGTTAACACTCCTAAGTCAGCATTCAACTTAGGTTTCAAACATATCATTCTTTTTGCAATAAATTTTCATCGGTTTATGTCATTTTCATGAAATTTCATAATTACAGTAATAAGAACAACTTGCCTAACAGCTTTGGGAACAAATCCAGCAACTCTTAGTAGCCTTACAACTCCACGAGTGTGAACACGGGCCCTCTGGGCTGCTGCATGCTGACAGGTAGTGGAGAATACCCATTAATCATGGAGGCTAATGAAGATAGCAGCTCCTATGTACACAAGCTACTTAGAAACCAATGAAGATATGCGGTGCCTAAATTTTCTAATTCTTTTCTAGAAGACTCACCAGGTAAGGATGAAAGAATTTCTATATCTACTTGCTGGGTCTCTGGATTGTGGCTTAATATTTTTCCTTCCTTTCAAAAATAAAAGTCCAAGTCAAAAAACAACATGTAAAACATTATGAATACACTAAAAAAATACTGAATTGTACACTTTAAAATGGTTAAAATGGTGTATTTTGTTATGTGAATTTTAATTTTATTTTAATTTCAATAAAATTTTTTTTT